TTCCCTCGTCAGGGAAGCACCAGGGGCTTGTTGAAGTGAGAAAATCGAGTAAAGATGGAGGTTGAATAAAACGAAGGTTGAACAAATGAGGGTTTGTATAAAATGAAAGGCGAATAAAATGAAGGTTGAACAAATAATGGGTGAATAAAACAACAGTGGAATAAAATGAAAGGCGAATAAAATGAAAGGTGAATAAAATGAAAAGTGAATAAAATGAAAGGTGAATAAAATGAAAGGTGAATAAAATGATGGTTGAACAAATGAGGGTTGAATGAAATTAAAAGTGAATAAAATGATGATTGGACAAATGAGGGTTGCACCGGGTTGTGGACAGGGCTGTGCACTCCCTGCTCACCTGGGGAGCCGGGGGGTGGCTGCACCCCAAAGCCCCTTTTGAGGAGCGCCACCACCTCGTCCTTCGTGGTCACACCCCAGCCCCTGCTGTAACGCCGGGGTGATAAATGATGGATGTGATTGCTAAGAACAACAGGGATGTTGATAGCAACCCCAGGGGTGTGTTAGGAAGCTGCATGGATGCCGGGCTCGGCTCTGGCTGCCTTCAACATCCCCACGGTGTCGCAATTGCGGGCGAGCTCCAGGCCGAGCTGGCTGCTGGATGAATCACCCTGAGCCGCTGGCCCGGGGCTGGCCCGGCCAGGAGAGTGATGTGGTGGGGTTTGTCCAGGTCAGGATCCGGCCAGGACCCTCCTGGAGCATCCACCAGCTCCTCGGTGGGATGCTGCTCTGCTGGGGTGGGAAGTGGTGCTGGATCTGGAGGAGGATGAGGATGAGGAGGGCGCTTGGTGTCCCTCGCTGTGACTGCAGCACTGCCAAATGCTCACGATGCCCGCTTTCCCAAACCACGCCTGCATTTGGTGCCCTGGGCTTTATCACCAGCCCTGTCTTTTCCAGGAGCTCCACCAGGGTCTCTCTGTCGCCCTGAGAATCAGGCCTTTGATATTGTTTTTCTACATGTTCTAGCCACTTTCCCAGGAAAGTAACTATAAACATAAGTGTTTATACATTCTATTAAAGATATACCTTTTAATGGACATCTCTCACTGCCAGTGTGGTTAGGAAAGTGTTAACCTGACTATCCAATCCCTGGTCGTGGTCAGAAACCTATAAATACTGAAAAAATAAATAAACTAATCCCTTTCTTTCACCACACCTCCAACTGGGTCTGTGTAACTCATTTTGTGTCCAACAGTGACATCTCCCTTCATCCAACCCATGGATCTGGGATCCCTCTGCTCTCCCCCATTTTTGATGGGACATCCCCAAAATGCTGCAAGAGCTCTCAAAAAAACTACAGGAGGTTTCTCCAAACCCCCGAGATTCCAGCAGGGGGAACAAGCTTGACCTGGCCAGAAAAAAGGGCCGGGTAGGACTGGAAAGGTCTGGGATGGAAACCCATCCCAGTCCTTGGGAGTGGAAAACTTGCTCACCCTGTGTGCGTGTAGCTTTAAGATGAGTTTGCTTTTCCAGCAGCAGATTTCCGGAGGATTCTTGGAGAAACACCAAATTTTGCCTAATTCAGTCATTTAAAGGCCCGTAGCCTGGATTCTGTGCAGATGAGAGCGGAGCCTGCACTGGAACCTTCCCTTGGGACGCGTCCCCGGGGAGGCTCTGCTGCCCTGTGGCCTTTGGGCACTGGGATTATTTCCTCTGGTGGCTGGGAAGTGCCGGCACATTCCTGCTGCTGCCACCATCCAGGCTGTGCTCACCAGCAGCAACCATGGCCTCACATCTGAACCACACATCCAAGACACAGCCAAGCTGGGATTATCCATTTGGCTGGGAAGGGATTGAAACCCATCCAGTGCCACCCCTGCCATGGGCAGGGACACCTCCCACTGTCCCAGGCTGCTCCAGCCTGGCCTTGGGCACTTCCAGGGATCCAGGGGCAGCCCCAGCTCCTCTGGGAATTCCATCCCAGCCCTTCCCCACCCTCCCAGCCAGGAATTCCTTCCCAATGTCCCACCCATCCCTGCCCTCTGGCACTGGGAGCCATTCCCTGTATCCTGTCCCTCCATCCCTTGTCCCCAGCCCCTCTCCAGCTCTCCTGGAGCCCCTTCAGGCCCTGCAAGGGGCTCTGAGCTCTCCCTGGATCCTTCTCCTCTCCAGGGGAACATTCCCAGCTCTCCCAGCCCGGCTCCAGAGGGGCTCCAGCCTCGGAGCATCCCCGTGGCTGCTCTGGACTTGCTCCAGCAGCTCCCTCTGATACTGGGGACCCCCAAGCTGCAGGTGGGGTCTCCCCAGAGTGGGACAGAGGGGGAAGAATCCCCTCGCTGCACTTTTTTGGGGGTGAGTTTGGGGGTTGCACCCAGGCATGACCACCAGGAGATCTCGATGGGAGTTGGGGTCGTACGCTGAGCCCATCCCACCCCCAGATCCCACATGGGCACCCCATCCCACCCCACAGCCGGCCTGGGGGGGCTGCCGGGGCTCGGGGGGTGCTCACACACACCCCAAAAACCTGCCCTGCAAATTCCTCCTCCCTGGGGTGCCTGATCCCCATCCCGGGCACCTTCCTGGGCGTGGGGGTGGATCAAAGGCCGCGCGTGCCGGTCCTGCTCCTGCTCTGGGCCAATTTGGCTATTTCAGCTCCCCTAATCTGATGGCAGTGGGAGCTTGGGGGGGCTCATTTATTGCTCTGGGAATTTTTCCGTTTGTTTTGCTGTTTTGTTTTTTTTTTTTATTTTGGGGCGGTGGCTTTTTTTGGCTGGCTTTTTTGTTTGTTTTTTGGGGGGATTGTTTGCTGTTTTTGTTTTTATTTTTTGTTTTTTTGGGGGGCTTGTTTGTTTGTTTTCTGGGGGGATTGTTTGCTGTTTTTGTTTTTATTTTTTGTTTTTTTGGGGGGGCTTGTTTGTTTGTTTTTTGGGGGTTGTTTTGTTTTTTCGTTTTTTTTTGTTTTGGGTTTTATTTGTTTGTTTGTTTTTTGTTGTTTTGTTTTGTTTTTTGGGGTTGGGATTTTTTTTTTATTTTTTTTTTATTTTTTTTTTTGGTTTTGTGGGTTTTTTTTGCTTTTCCCTTCCTTCCGCTGGCCCAAAATTCTCCCTTTCAAACCCGATGACGGCAGCCCCGGCCGGGAGGGGACGGCGAGGATCGGCCCCCGCCCAGCGCATCCGGGCGGCCTCGGGCTCCCCCCAGAACCCCCCCAGGCCGCTTCCTGACGGCTGCAGGGAGAGTCCAGAGCTGCCCTTGGGACCGGACAAACTCCAACCGGAAACTCTCTGGAGCGCCACAAAGTTCTCCTGACTTTCCCCTCCTGCTTTCTGCTCGGGGAGGGGATGCTCGGGGAGGTTTTGGTTTGGATGAGGATGATGAGGAGCCAAGCGCGCCTGTTTTTTAAGGAGTTTGAGCGTTCCCATGGCCCGCAGGTTCTTTGGCAGAGCCGCAGAGGAGCCGCTGACCCCCCCGAAAATGCAGCCGAGGAGGATGAAGGGTTAACGGCAGCGCTGCTGCTGCTGCTCGCCTGCCAAAAGCCGCTCCGGCGGTGCCATGGACTTCCCTTTATTCCATAAAAGTCCACCGGATCCGGGCTCCCGTGGGATGCTGGAAGGAGGGGGCTGAGCCGCCCTACCTGGGGCGCGTGCAGGCGCCGGGGGCTGTTTGTGCCGTGCCTCCCAAAAAAAAACCACCTCGGGAGCCGGGAGCCAGCGCTCGCCCTGCTCCCTGCCCCGGCTCGGGCTCCGGAAAGGCAAAAACTCAGTTTCCAGGTTTTGTTTTTTTTTTTTTTAATTTTTTTTAAGGTATTTTGGGTCGCAGCCTCATTCCAGCTGGGCTGGGAAAGGATGAGGGGGAAAAGATCTGGGATGGCCGGGCTGGGGCAGCACGTGCTGCTCCTCACGGAGCTCCAGCATTGCTCCAACAGTCTCTGCTCCCCTCCAGGAGACCCAGAGCCCACGGGGGTGGAAAGGAGATGCTGGTGGGAAGCAGGGAGAGGAGAAACACAAGGGATGTCCCCCCCATGGAGCCTCTTTTTTTCTCCATACCCTTCCCAAACCATGTTTGGACCTCCCAGCACCTCAAAATCATCCCCTGACTCCAGCCCTGATTATTTTGAGGGTGCTGGTGCAAATATAAAGGCCAAGAGGTCTTTTCCCAGCCCTCTTCCTAAAGCGAGGGGTCTCCCAGAGAATCTGTGGCTGCCCCATCCTTGGAAGTGTCCAAGGCCAGCTTGGATGGGGTCTGGAGCACCCTGGTCTGGTGGAATGGAATGAGATGAGTTTTAAGGTCCCTTCCAACCCCAACCACTCCACGATCCTGTGAAACTGCGTTTTCCCAGGAATTTGCATGGAGCAGAAACTAAAAAGTAACGTGAACAGGAGCTGCTCTTCCCCACAGAGATGCTCCAACTCCCCCCATGCTGCTCTGAGCTCACCAATTTAGGATTCACACCCCAATTCCCCCCCAGGGCTGTACCCGGGGACACCGCAGCAGATCCCTGCATTGGGGTGGCCTCCCCAAGGCAGGACGAGTGGGGGGTCCTCTCTTGACCCCCCTCCCTCGCAGGCAGCTCGCCCGAGCCCCGGCTCAGTTACAGCAGCAGACGAGATGTCATCACACCGAGAGCCCGGGGCTTGCATCACAAGTGTCTTGCAACGAAGAAAGCCAAATTTTTTACAGGAGCAGCACACACGCTCTCTCTCTCTCTCACACACACACACACAGCCTCGGTAATTAACTTAATAGGTTTCTTACAGAATGCCCCGTGAGTGATGCTCAACATATTCAAGTGTTGACAAGACGGCGCTGAACCCGACGCCTACACAACGGGCAAACGAGGCTCGGAGCACAGACACACCTTCATTGTCTGAAACTTGTAGTAAAACTCCAAACCCGCCCTTGTGAAATGGGGAGCTGAGCAGATGGGGCTGAGTAACCCTTCAGCTGCCAGGACCTGGTGCAGGACCTGGCAGGACCCAGGTGAGGTGGTGGCAGCTGGTGCCCAAGACCCCCAAATTAATTTATAAGTGGGTTGGACAAGGTGGAGATCACAGCAGATGTTTCCATATATATTTGGGATATGTAATGAAGAGGTTTCAGCCCACTGGGATTATTATCCTTGATTTTTGTGGGACCCTTCCAGCTCAGGATATTCCACAATTCTATGGTTTGCTGGGCACTGAAATAAATCAGCAGCTTCTCACTCCTCTATAAAAATATTCACCCTCCAAAAAATGGCTGTAAATCCGAAATCCAAGGGGATGAACACGGCGCTGTCCTCTGGGTTCTCTCCAGGTCAATATTTGGGCCACTAATATTAAAAAAAACCGCTGCTGGACAGTTCCTCCCTGTGTGCCGCCTGCCCGGTTCCCAGAGGAATCATTCCCTTCCCTCCTGCCTCAGGAATTGTGTCACAAAAGACACAATTTTGGCTCATTTGTGCTGGATGGGCTCAAATCCCCATCCAAGGAAAGCCAGCACCAAACACCCTCCTGAAGAGCCAACAGCATCCATGGTCACTGTGAAAAAAGGGAAAAAGAATCACTGGAAGGACGATTGATGGGAAAACCAGTTTGGATGGAATTGTGTTGCAAGAGGCAGCAGAGATCCATCTCCTGCTGATTTGGGATGGGATCTTGAGTCAGGAAAGTTGCCTAAGAAAGGGTGGTCGTCTGTACAGGTTTCTCCGGGTTGGGAAATGTCCTGCCAGCGGCTGGGACCCACGTGGAGCAATCCCAATCCCAGCCTGGCTGTCATCACGGTGCTGACGAGCTCCCAAACCCGTCGGGCTCCTCAGTGTCCCCTCCACCTGGATGGGGCCCTGCAGCTTGGCCCTGTCCCTATCGCTCCGGGATCGGATCCGGTTGGATCAGGGGGAAAAGTCCGTCAGCGGCTGCTGGTGATGCCGGAGCAGCAATGGGATCATTCCTATGTGTCACATCCAGTGTCATTCAGAAGGGTTGGAACCCCAAATCGGGGGCTCTTCCTTATCCTCCTGCACCTTGTGACCTCAAGGGCAGGCGCCGGCCACTGCAGGGATGCAGGATCCATCATTGTTCCTAATTTTAAGAGTTGCAAAAGCATTCCAGAGATTTTGATCAACAGATCCAAAACCCTAGAACCTTGGGCACGGCAATTTTGGGAGATTTTTCCAGCACCAGAACCTTGGCCACAGCAATTTTGAGGGAATTTTTCTACACCAGAAGAGCGTGGATGCTGCAGACCAGACCTGGGCTGCAGACGGGCAAATCCACAGGGTTACGGTGCACGGGAATTAAGGATTTACCTGGGAGTTTGCTCGGCATTGTCAGGGAATTAAAGGTTTTACCTGTGTGTTGCAGACGAAGGCTTAAAGATTTTACAAACACGAGATTTACAGCTCTCCCAAATTTCGACACCCTCGGGTTTACGCCGCCAGGGAGGATTTTGACCAGGTCTGGATGTTTTCCTGATGAAACCTGGTGGGAACGGTGGTGGGAATTGGGGCTCAGGCTTAACCCACGGCCATGTGGCGCCCGAAATCAGCCCCAAACCCTCAATCTGTCTGGGCTCTTGCAGAGAGTGAGCCAAGTGGGATCAGACCCTAAAGCCGCCCAAGGTGAAGCCAGAGCCTCAGCATCCATTGCAGAAAGAATCTTTGCATTAAAATCCCTTTTCTCTCCTCAAAAACTCAGTGACATTCCAGACCTTTGGGAGTTGAAGCATCCCTTCCACCAGCACCTCCATCCACGATGGCTGGACCTTAAATCACACAACCAAGGTGAGCCCCAGCGGAGGCTGCAGAGCAGCAAATCCTGCCCATCCAACAAGCCCTTCCCAAGCATTCCCAAGGGTGAATCCTGGTGGGATGCGAGGCAAACACATCCCAAACACCCTACAAATCCAGGGCTGAAGGCCTGGCCTGCTATCATCGCTGCCCATCGGGAATTGCAGCCGCTTGCATGCGTGGAGCGAGGCAGAGGTGCAGGAGCTGTGCAATTCCCAGCCCGGGGCGAGCGGCTCGCCCACACACTGGGAACAGGAGCTGCAGGCCGGGCCCCGATGGAAGGCGGATAAAGCTGCCCTTACGTAAGGCCCGGGGTTGCGTGGAGGATCCATGGCGGGAGCAGACTTGCTCTGGGCTCAGCCAGCAGCCCTGGGATGGATCCAGGCCGGAATATCCTGGGATGTGCAGCACGGAAGCAAACCTCGCTCTCCTGCCCACCACGCTGGAAGTTTTCTCCCCATCCCAACCCCTTCCCAAAAAATAGGTGCAAAATAGGTTGTTGTTCATGAGGGCGCTGGTGATTATTAATAATAACTCGGCTCCGTGGTGCTCCAGTTTTTCCGAGCTCCCTGGCAGCGTTCCGCCGGGGCCGGTGATTTAGTGCAACTTAATTATTCCCAGCGTTTCATCACCTCTTGTTTTTGATGTCTGTGTCTCTGTCAGGGCCTCACCTTCGTGACTAAGAGAGCCAGGGAAACAAACTGCTGGAAAAGGGAGTGAAAGGGGGAAAAACCCTGAGCTGGAGGGTGCTTGGAGGCTGGGAAGGCTCGGGAAGGTGTCCTGTGGGGATGCTCTGTGCGTTCCTGCTGCAGGATGGGATGTGCATGAGGATGCACCCTCATGGGGTGTGGGGGCTCCCACCCAAGCCCATCCCAGGTTTCAAGGCTTGGCTGTCATTCCCAAGCGGAGGGAGCAACATTCCCTGTCTTCTCCTTCCCAAAGGGAAAAGATAGTGCTGGGCCTTGTCTGCCCCTAAAACACCTCAGTGAGGAGCTCGCAGCTCCCTCGGCCCTGGGAAGTGTTGGATTTGCTGGATTTGGCTCCCAAATTCCCAAATTCCGTTGGTAACGGAATTCCCGTGGCTCCAAACCTTCCATCCCACCATGGAGTGTGGAGGAGCCATTAGCAGAGCCGGGAGCAGCTCCTGGGATGGTGCCTTGGATCCACTTGGTGCCCTCCAGGGGACACCGGGAGCACGAAGAGGGACACAGGAAGGACTCAAGGATGCACACAGGGAAGGAATTGCTCTAGGGAAGGAGGAATTCCAGCTCCAGGGCTGGAAGCCCACAGGTGGTAGGGGGAGCATCCTGCAGGAATGGGGCTGGATGGGGATGAGGGGCTTGTGGCAGGGCTGGTACTGCCCCACATCTGCTGGGTTTTCCTCAGAAATTAAAACCTGGAGCAGGTGGGATGAGGTGACCACCACTATCCAACATTTTACACATGATGGAAAGTGGGAAGAGTCTCTTGGAATGGCTAAAGAGCTGCTTTGGACTGCAAAATTGGCAGGACTGGGATGCAGGGCTGGGATGCAGGGCTGGGATGCAGGGCTGGGATACACATTTGGGACTGGGATGTAGCATTGGGTTGCAGGGCTGGGATGCAGGGCTGGGATACAGGGTGGGGATGAAGGGCTGGGATGCAGGGCTGGGATACAGGGTGGGGATGAAGGGCTGGGATGCCATATTGGGATGCAGGGCCAGGATTTAGCATTGGGATGAGGGGCCAGGATTCAGGGCTGGGATATAGCACAGGGACATGGGGCTGGAATGAAGGGTTGGGATGAAGGGCTGGGATTTAGGATTGGGATGCAGGGCTGGGATGTTGTACTGTGGCACAGGGCTGGGATACAGCACTGGGATATGGCACTGGGATATGGAACTGGGATGTGGCACTGGGATGTGGCACTGGGATGTGGCACTGGGATACAGAATTGGGATGTGGCACTGGGATGTGGCACTGGGATGTGGCACTGGGATACAGAATTGGGATATGGCACTGGGATGTGGCACTGGGATGTGGCACTGGGATGTGGCACTGGGATACAGCACTGGGATATGGCACTGGGATATGGCACTGGGATATGGCACTGGGATACAGAACTGGGATATGGCACTGGGATACAGCACTGGGATACAGAACTGGGATATGGCACTGGGATACAGCACTGGGATACAGCACTGGGATATGGCACTGGGATATGGAACTGGGATATGGCACTGGGATATGGCACTGGGATATGGCACTGGGATATGGCACTGGGATACAGAACTGGGATATGTAACTGGGATACAGAACTGGGATGTGGCACTGGGATATGGCACTGGGATACAGAACTGGGATATGGCACTGGGATGTGGCACTGGGATACAGAACTGGGATATGGCACTGGGATACAGCACTGGGATACAGCACTGGGATATGGAACTGGGATACAGCACTGGGATGTGGCATTGGAATGTTGCTGGGAATGTTCCCACTTTGGGGCACAGCAGGGCAGCTCAGCAGGTGCCCAGCCAGAGCAGAAAATTCTCCTGGATCCATTTGGGATCTGCCAGCACCTCTCTGGCAGTACCAGCCTGGCTCAGCATCCCAAGGATTTCACCCAGCCCTGGGAAAACCCAGGCTCCACTCCAGGCCACACCAAACTCCGCAAAGCCAGGGGAGAAAGCCAGGAATTTTCACAAAAAAAAAGAGGAGAGAGAGAGAGAGGATGAAAAAGGAAAAAAAAAAAAAATCCCACAGCATTCCCAGTATTTCCCTGTGTGTCTGTGGCCTGGCGCAGCCCTTCTGCTCACTGCTCTGTTTATCCATGACAGACAACTAATTAACATCGGAGCCTCTTGAAAGGTCTTTTCAGAGGTAATGTTCTGACAGAGGATGTCAGTGAGGAGCAGTGATTTGTCTAAGCAGTGATCACATTGTTTCAGACTGAATGAGGTGAATATTAAACTGCTTTAAATGCACTCTTCATAAAGCACTAATTACATACTCCCGGGGGAGTACGGGCAAGGAATACTAAACAGCCGAAAAGTCAACAGAGTGCTTTTTATAGTATGTTGCTGGGTTCTGTGTTTTTCTGTCTTTCTTTCTCTCTCTCTCTCTCTCTTACAGTAAAATCACAGCACGCTGAAGAATACACATTTATAGCACAATGCTTCACATCTAATTATATGGCAATCATTAGTTTTAACCTGGGTGTATTATATTTTCTTTGATATCTCGTGCCCCCCGGCATCTCTTTGCATAGAACACTTCCAAAGGCATTTTCTCCCCTCCCTGGAAAAAAATGTGCTTTTTTTTCTCTTTTCCAGCTTTAACATTTGCTTATAATTTTTTTTTTTCTTCCCCCTAAACAATTTTTTTTTTTTTTTTTAAATTGGCAGGAATAAAAAGGGGTAAAAAGAGGGGAGGAGGAGAAATCCGTTTAATCCAAATAAGAACCTGTTCCCTCCCTCCTGGAATCATGCACTTTATTATTACCAAGGTAACTCCACTGGGGTTTTAAAGGGGAAAGGAAACACAGAATGGGCCATTAATGAATTCCTGCAGACTTATGTGCACTCCTGGTCTGGCTCGGCCAGAATTCCTGATGGGGGGAACAACTACTCCATGAATTATTTATTTTTTTAATAGCACAACTTGGGCGGAGGGGGGGAGATTGAAGTAACCACAAATAAATCCTCCCTGCGCTGAAAACCTTGCGATCTTCTCATCCAAGAAGTGGAAAAATAAAAGAGCAGCATGTGACAGGCCTGGGTGTCCTCGAGGAACCTGCTGCTTCCTCCTGGGAAGCGAAGGGAAAGCCAGGAAGAGGTGCTGGGGACACGGATGAGGGGCATGAGGGCTGTTTGAGCATAAATATCTCCCCCTAAATGTCCAAGGTCTGGCTCAAAAGCACAAGGTGTGGCTGAAATTTGTGAGGAATGGTACAAACACAGAGGATCTGCCTCAAATAGCAACTTTCCTGCCTCCCAGCGCATTCCAGAGGGGCTGAAGGGGCTCCAAAGAAGAGGGAGAGGGAATTTTCATCAGGAATTTTAGTGCCAGGACAAGGAATAGGGGATTCAAACTGAAAGAGGGGAAATTTAGCTGAGATATACGGGAAGGAATTTCTGGCTGTGAGGGTGTGGAGAGGCTGGGCTGGAATTCCCAGAGGAGCTGTGGCTGCCCCTGGATCCCTGGAAGTGCCCAGGGTCAGGCTGGAGCACCCTGGGGTGGTGGGAGGTGTCCCTGGCCATGGCAGGACGGGATGGGATTTAAGGTCCCTTCTAACCCAAAACATTCTGGAATTGAAGGATTTGAAATGCTCAGGGTTGGTTCTGTGAAAGTGGGGCCTGGCCCAGAAGTGCAGGGTGGGATTCATAAACAGAAATTATGGCTCAAATAAACCCAGTTGGATTCACATGCAGAGGTTACAGAATCATGGAATCATGGAATTGTTCAGCTTGGAAAAACCCTCCGAGGTCACTGAGTCCAAGCTGTGCCCGATCCCCACCTTGTGTCACCTCCAGGCCCTCCTGGGACACCTCCAGGGATGGGGATCCAAACCTCCCTGGGCAGTTCCAAGGCCTGATCCCCCTTTCCATGGGGAAATTCCTGCTGCTGCCCACCCTGAGCTCCCCTGCCCAGCCTGAGGCCGTTCCCTCTCCTCCTGTCCCTGTTCCCTGGGATAAGATCCCAAATCCCCCCGGCTGTCCCCTCCTGTCAGGGAGTTGTGCAGAGCCAGAAATTCCTCCTGATCCCCCTTTTCTCCAGGCTGAGCCCCTTTCCCAGCTCCCTCAGCCTCTCCTGAGGCTCCAGCCCCTTCCCAGCTCCGTTCCCTGCCCTGGATTCACTGCAGCCCCTCAGGACTGGACACAGCAGCCCCAGGACCGTCCCTCCAGCTCCTCCTGCCACGGACACTTTGTCACAGGTGTGTCACTGCAAGGCCACCCCTGCCCTGCCCGAGCTGAAGCACCCCACAAGGCCATGGAAGCTCTGTCCCGCTCCCGGGATCAGTCTCGCTCCACACGGCACCGGGTGCCCACGGATCCGGGAACATCGCGCGGAGCCG